GCAGACTCCCCGCTGAGCAGGGAGCCCAATGCGGCACTCGATCCCAGGACTCTGGGATCATGACCTGAGCCAAAGGCAGTCGCTTAACCAACTGAGGCACCCAGGCGCCCCTTTTACCAAGACTTTCAAATCCCTCTTTCTTGTGCTCTTGCCTGTACTCTCTGAAGTTGTCTAGCAAAGGAATTTGATAAATGACCATAAAGAATAAGAAATAGCAAGGGATCTAATATGTATACTGATCAATCTCTGACTAATTGAACTTGTAAATTAAGCCATCATTCTTACCACTTACTTGGCATCTCTCATGCCAAATGACAAAAATTCTTTGACCAAACTTTAGGCAGGTTCCTGAACCTTCTTTTAGGCCCATCAGTGTACTTTCTTGTAAGATCCAGTTTTAGCAAGAATCCCTCACCATTGATATCTGATCACCCTCATATCTGATCAGGTTCTTCATCTTTCACCATCCCTTAGGTTATGTATCATCATCCTGGCCTATCTTTAGGAAGAATCTTGTTAGGTTGGTTTAGTCAGAATCCCCTTCTCCTAATGTTTCCTCTTAGTACTTTTCCATCCATTAGCCCCCACCATGGTCCTTGGCTATAAATTTCCACTTGCCCCTGATGTTTTCAGAATTGAGCCCAGTTCTGTACTGAGATCTCTTTTCCCCTATTGCAATAGTTCTAACTAAAAACTGTTTTCTACTGCTTTAACTACTGTCCAACTCTAGTTTTTCTTTGAAGATGAGTGAAAGATTCTTTTTTTTGCAAAGGATTATTGTCTTTTTATTTTTATGGCCACTTTGCCTGGCACTTAGTTCCTTAGTAATGTTTTTTGAATGAATGATAGCTAGTCTGAACCTCTGCTAGATTTTCATGAATCTTTGATATTAATGGTGCATATGCCCTTCTCATTTTTTGTACTTAGCAGTATCTGCTCTTTGTTATTAGGAACCTAAGAACAGGCCCTTGGGTGTGTTTGTACATGGCTTTTATTCCTTACTAAAGTTGGGCCATTTTATGAACAGCAATTAGTTACTAAAGAGATAATCACATTATAACTGGGTCCAGAGAATTGACTTTGTAGTTCTCAGTGACAGACTTCATCCTCATTCTATTAAAAAAGAAGAAAGAAAACAAAGATAGATATGTGTGTGTGTATATATACACACGCACATATATGTACATATATGTATATACATAGAAAATCAGTTTTCTTATTTGCACATTGACCATTTTAGGATATACTTCTGGCTTTGACAAAACTGTTTAACATAGATTTTATGAAATTATCCCAGTTATTAAAAATCAGTCTCTAAACTTTGGATTTTCCTCACTTCTCTCCCAGCATTCAGATAACTTTTTCTCTTTTGAGTAAATAGTGATTTTTATCATTTATGCATTCTGGTGACTCCCGAGTACATGAGCCTTTTCTTCTGCAGACTTGGCCTCTAGGACGGCCTTTTTCTTCATCTTTGTTTTCCTGTTCTAAGATCTCCTCTGAAAGCATCTCACTTCCTCCTGGAAATGTCTCTTAATGTGTGTATCCTTTGCCTGTCATTTATTGGTTAGTTGTGTAAAATGCTGAGTTTCATCCTGAGGAATAGATCGAGGAGTAGATGACAGACTTGAGTGTCATGCCCAGACACGTGAGCTACGTGTCAAGTAGTACAGATACAAATGGGCCATGAGTTAAATTCTAGTGAATGGCAGAATCTTTATTCAAGATTTCACCTTTGTCTCAGTCTGTTTATACTACAGAAATGTGCTGCTTTTTGTTCTTGAGAAGGCATCAGTTTGACCTCTCTCATAATTAGAGATTTGTTTTAAGTATCAAATAGAAATAAGCAATGGCATTCCTTATATGTAGCTATTAAGCTGACTGGGAATTTAAAAAGATGTAAGCTGGATTTTTTTTTTTAAGTAGGAGAACAGATCATTATTTATTGTTGTTATATATTTAATTCTTAAAAAAGACAAATCACCCTAAAGTGAAAAAGCAAGAATGATGGAAATGAAAAGGAGCAAGAGAATGAGGAATGATTTCAGAATAATTCTGGGTATTTAAGAAAGAGGGCCTTCTTCCTCCCATTGTGATCCTCCTCTTGGTGAAAATGGGAAAACAAAAAGCCAGTAAAGTGGGAAGGAAGCAGGAAATCCTAGTTAGTGATTGTCAGATTTGAGTATTTAAGAGCCATGAAAATGCTTGCTTCTTTTACGTTTAATACTTTTCCCCTAACTTGGTTTGCCTTTTGTTTTCTTTTAGAAAAATCATGATTTTTCATTTCTATTTCCTAGTAAGGATATAGTTAAATAAAATTTGGAAGCCATATATTGTGATATGGTTGTACAAAACCAAGTTAAATTTTGAATTTTGTGGTTGGAGGGAAACCATTCCGGAGTTTATTCAGTCACTTCCTATGCCAGTGCTGCCCTACTGCTCAGCCAGCAAACCCCCTTTTTCTCCTCTAGGTAGAAAACAGAAAATTTAGCCTCAAATAACAGAAACAAGGTAAAAGGAAGGAATCCCACCTGGTCCTTATGTTATGTCTGCTCTAGTCCTTGTAGTTTACTTCCTGGTTGAAAATAGGCTACAGGACCTTGTTAAGGTAAAATTCTCATTTCATGATTATATTAGGAAAGCAGGGTTTGGGACTAGGAAGTGAAATTATCTTCAGCACAGCAGTTAGGAATTTTTCCAGAAATGAATTGCTTTCCAGAAATGTCCTGAATTTTCAGTTATAATGGCCATGGTCTTTGCATTTATTTACTTGTATTTACTTTATGTTTATTTTTTGCACTATGTCATAGTTCCAGAAAGTGCTAAAAAATCATGTATTTAAAACAAACCAGAAAACCTCTTGTCCTGGGGCTGTGTGAAGAAGAATAAAGCTCTCATTTTCCCAGTACCCAATCATCAGCTTCAGCTGGCTTCTCCTAGAAACAGAATTTATTGAAGCAATTTATCCTGGCTAAATGTGATATAAATCTGTGTATACCTATGTACATACTCTTCCATTACAGCAATGCTGCAGCATCAGTTTCCTTCATAGTTAGACCCTGTTCCTAGCACACTGAAAGATGACTAAGAAGCCCTTTCTATTTTGGGGGGCACCCCACAATTTTAAACACTAGTTGTGGAATTACTGATCAGACCACCAGAAATACTGGTTTCCAACCCCAGAGTGAGTCTTAAGAGAGTAGGAGAGGTGTTACCTAGCTCCCCTCTGAGTTTTAAGCAGGGTTTTCTGATTACCAAATTCAGTCTAGCACTTTAACATTTTATTTTAATGCAGACCTGAGTGAGGGTTAACCTGATATTTTGGTTTATCTCCAAGATAAAAATTTGAGTTTAGTTACAGTTCTGAAGTTGTCTCTAGGCATATTCAAATTATAGTTCTTCCTCTTTCATCTTCCCTTGTTAATACTCTTTTCTAGGGCGCCTGGGTGGCTCAGATGGTTAAGCGTCTGCCTTCGGCTCAGGTCATGATCCCAGGGTCCTGGGATCGAGTCCCGCATCGGGCTCCCTGCTCAGCGGGAGCCTGCTTTTCCCTCTGCTTCTCTCTCTCTCTCTCTCTCTCTCTGTCTCTCATGAATAAATAAATAAAATCTTTAAAAAAAAAATACTCTTTTCTACAGCTTTCTTTCTTGTAGAAGGATGTTCGAAAATATCCTTTAGGAGTTTTTTCTATGAAGACTATTTTTGTGCCCCCCCCCTTTCAAAACCCTGTTTATCTTTTAGGAATATTTTTACTATGATTTGCATTTCTCATCCTTATCCATCTCCACCTCTATTTTTTTTTTTTTTTTCTTTTAAGATTTTATTTATTTATTCATGAGAGACAGAGAGAGAGAGAGAAGCAGAGGGAGAAGCAGGCTCCCCACTGAGCAGGGAGCCCGATGCGGGACTCGATCCCAGGACTCTGGGATCATGACCTGAGCCGAAGGCAGACGCTTAACCATCTGAGCCACCCAGGCGCCCTCCACCTCTATTTTTATTCCTAGTTGGGAAATGAGAAATTTCCCCAACACATTCATATTGGAATTATTGTTCTTTGACAAAGAATTTCGATCATTTCAAGTCTAGCTTCAATACTTAACAACAACAGTATAAGCCCTGCTAAATTCTTCAGAGAAATAGAGAGGATGGATGGTGATGCCTTTTAGTGCCATTTCTTTTATCCCCTGCAGCAGCACACATCTGTTGGCTGCAGCAGAGCAGCCCAAGAACTCTGGCCGAGAGCGGCACAAACAGCCGGAACATATTCACCCAGTAAACCCCCAAAGAGTCGACATTTGTTTTATTGCCGCTTTTAAAAACCTAGCCATAAATAGAATTAGAGGGGGAAGGGCACCGATATTTCTCCATTTGCCACAGACGATTGGTGGGGGGAGAAGGAGGCTCCCAGTGGGGAGAGAAGGTTTTTATTCTTATTTTTTTATTAATGAAAATCATTTCTTGTGTAGCCCAGTAGGATGGGTGCTTTGTTTTCTTTGGCAATAATCTGGGATAAACAGCCCTTGCCAACAGTCTGGTAGTTTATACACCAGGGAGCCAGATTATAGCCCTGTAAAATGGAGCACCCCTCCTATAATCCCTTAATTAATTAAATGACAAATTTTGGTCTTCTCTAGTTCAGAAATATGGCTTCCGCATCGAATGTTCAGTGGATTTATTGACATGGGGAACTGCACTGATTGTAATTCAGCAGACTAGAGGAGTGTGTTATATACTGTAGCAGAAAGAGGGAAAATCTCCCAAAGGTTTGAAATTCCTTGACTATTTAGATTTCAATTTTTCTAATTAAAAGTTTCAGTTGAAGCGCAGTAGATCATATTCCACCTGTCTAATGGGTCTCCCCAAAGTAGCCTATGTTTTAGCTTTGATAGACAGCATTCTTGGAACACCTGTTTCTAGCCTTGATATTTTTGAAGCACTTTTTTTTTTTTTTAACTCCAGCGTATTTAACATAACTTTTCCCCCTGCCTCCCCCTCCTCAGCTCCGCTCTGCTCTATGAAATATGGGAGACGACAGACCGTTTGTGTGCAATGCCCCGGGCTGTGGACAGGTACGTTTACAATATACTTTATTGTGAATGTCTCGTTGTGAATCAAAGTGGCTGTTTTATCACTAAGGCAAAGAGTTTAAAGCCGGTATTTTACGTGATCACTGGAGGTAATCAGATCAGAGGATTTGCAGTGTGTAAATCCATGTTATGAGGAAGTGTAGGCACTCTACCGTAATGAAATCTGCCTTGCTCTCTTTCATATTGTTATTCTACCGGTGTTTGTTTCCCAACACACAGTGTTGAGGAATACATGTTGCTCTCTCCTGCTTTCTAAAGCTATCCATCTAAATATAAAACAAGTTTAGAAATATCTCTTCCTCAGCCTTCGTGGATATAAAAGTGTACTTAACGTATTTAGAGTAAGCAGCTGAGAATGTACCCGTTCATCGTGAACCCCAATTTGTTGGATTCTATTGGATTTTTTACGTAAGAAAAAAGTTTCTTTGGACTGTTGATCCAGAAAATGGTTGGTGGCTAAGGCAGATACCTTTCTCTCTAGGAAATACAAATCCAACGTAGAACCTGAGATTTCACGGCAGTATATAAACTACAAGATTTCTCAGCCATCTTCCCTCTCTGACACCATGAAATGCCTTGTTCTGTGTGTCAGCTGCCATATTATTGTTTGCATATGTGTACATTATGTGTCAGATATTTTTCATTATATGCTTTTTTAATAAAGTAATTTTGTTGAAACTGCCTTTTTACACCCCCCCATTTTGTACCTTCTTAACTCTTCTTCCTAGACCCCCCCCACTGCCATGTTCCGCAAACGATGAAGAAAGGCATACAAAGGAAGTTTTATCAGCCTTCATGAATTGATTTTATGGAACTGAGTGTTGAATTTCTGCTCAGTTAGGAATATGCCATGTGACTGCCCAGTGACACTTACTGGTGGTATGTGAAATTGCAGACTAGTTCTATTAAACATTGTAAATACTTCAGCAGAAAGAAGAGAGTTAAGTTCCAGAGATTCCTAAGAATTGGAATTTGAGAGGTGAATGAGATGAGAGTAGTGACAAGGAATAAGCAGAAGGAGGATTCCAAATTCCAGTAAACACTGAAAATTTCAGAAAAGGCTAAAAAAGCCATTGCATTCTGAAGTATTCAGCATTGTAGGGTATATTTCCTTTCTTGTCAGCGTTTTCAACGTTATTGTTGACTGTTTCCCCCCATGTGATTTGTGTTTTATTCTTTTACAATAGAAGCCGCTTGGGAAATTAGGGTAAATTTGTTTCACTTTTCAGACAGCTGTATTAGAATATGTATCTGAACCTGATCCCTCCAGATTTTTGTGTGTGGATTTGTTGATAATACTATTTACTGTGATTTCCATAATTGATACCTGGGACCCTTTTCACTTACCTCCATTTTAAAATCTGCATTTTGGGTGAAAAGATTTATTTTTCTCATATTTATTTTTCTTCATTTACTGTTTAAGCTTCTCAGTGCCCCTCTTATGTTTTATGCTTAAAACCACCTTAGACAAGGACTTAAAGAAATTAAAATGGATTATAAAATTAAAGGAATAAACCAGGAAAGCATCTCTTAAGCTCCCTGAGGAAGAAAGGTATAAATGGGTTTTTTTAGGCTGTTTCATCAGAAGAGAGTAGTTTTCACTGAAATTTGTGAGATCCCAGAGGATTTTGTGTTTGTTTCTTTTTGTTTTGCATTTTTTGGACTAGAGGTGGTAAAAACAGTAGGGACTTTTTACTTTGGTTCCTTTTGTATTGCTGGATACTGTTTATCATAAGCCTCTTCCTTCCCCTACTTCTTCCTCCCATTTCTGAATTGTTTGCTGGTATTTTGGTTGTTCAGATTCGTTACAACCTCTAGTGTTGGTCCTGAAGGCTTTCCTCCCCTCAGTGGATATGGAACTCAGGGAGATTGCTACCTTCTTTTGGATTCAAGTTACTTGTTTCATAGAAAAGGATAGAAAGTAGCATCATTCATTCATCCCTTTCCCTCCTTTGCATGTCAGGACTTTATGGTCAGGTAAAAATTGTAGTTCTTTTTTTTTTTTTTTTTAAAGATTTTATTTATTTATTCATGAGAGACAGAGAGAGAGAGAGGTAGAGGGAGAAGCAGGCTCCCAAGGAGCAGGGAGCCCGATGCGGGACTCGATCCCAGGACCCTGGGATCATGACCTGAGCTGAAGGCAGACGCTTAACCATCTGAGCCACCCAGGCGCCCAAAATTGTAGTTCTTTAGTTATATTTAGTCACCTTCCAAGTTTCTCCCAATATCTAGTGACAACTCTAAAGTAGGATCTCTACAAGATTTACTTTACTGTGATTGCTTTCTATTATATGAAATAGTGGAAATCTGGCAGGGAAGATAAATTTGGGAAAGCAAACTACCCTTGGCCTGTCATCCAGCTTTCTTATATCCCTTGAAAATGGTTTCATCCTGGAGCCACTTGAGGCCTTCAAGCTATTTATAATCCACTGTCATTGATTCAAAATTTTTATTCCAGACATGGTAGAATAATTTTTTTAAAAAGCTACGTAAATCCCAGTAGTGGTAATAAGGACCATGATAATTTTTACAAGACATCGTTTAGAACTTATTGCCATAGAAGCCTCAAAAATCAGTGGTTTCTACCACTTAGAGGAAGAAGGAACGAAAGCAAATTAGAATTGGAGACTGATCCTTAAAAAAAACCAACCAGCAGAGAAAAAATATAGGAATCTTGCATTATTTCAGCATCTGTTCTCTGCTCAGACTTTACCCTATGTACCCCTAAACTCAGAAATCATCTCACGCCTTAATATTAAGGGAAGGTGAAAGGAAAATTCACCTAAAATAGACTAGTGGATTATGCTCTCCACCATATAATCAAAACCACAGGGCTTTCAATGGATACGTAAACATGTTTTGGTTGCTAGGTCTTTAATGGCTGTTATTTTTGGATTCCGTTCATGATCCACTTCCCAACAGTAAGTCTGATGTGACACAGCTGAATTCTAAATATGCTGCATGCACTTTTTTAAAAGAAAGATGGCTGCTGAAGGTTGTATTCTCTGCATTCTTATCTGAAAAGACAGGTGATAGGGTGTTTTGAGCCCTCTCATCCCTATTCTCCTGTTGAGACCCTGTTTCTCTTGAGGCCTCATCACTCTCATGAAGAGGAACTTAGGGAAAGCAATATTCTTGCTAATACCTCTCTATGGAATGTGGTAGCAGGAATAGTTAATAGAGCTGCCTCCGGAGAATGGGTTAGTGTTGTTAAGGCAACAGTACCCCAGATACCCTGTGGCAAAGGGTTGGGTTAAATTTGAGTGGTTTGGGTTTTTGAAATGTTTATAAGATAGCATCTAATTAAAACCATTGTGACTATAAAATGGATTTCCTTCTGTGTTATTAAAATAAGTTTAGTTTGGTGCTGAATTTAGGTAGTCTTTTGTTTTTGATGCTTTGGGAACATTTTTATTTAAAGGTGGCTTGTAAAATTGTTCTATTGTTTGTGGAAGCAGGAAAAACTATAGTTGACCCTTGACCAATGGAGGGGTTGGGAGCACCCAGGGGAGTTAAAAATCTGTATATAACTTTTGACTCCCCAAAAACTTAACTACTAATAGCCTACTGTTGACCTGAAGCCTTACCAATAAAACATAAACAGTTGATTAATTCATATTTTGTATGTTATATGTATTATATACTGTATTCTCACTTTGGAGTAAGCCAGAGAGAAGAAAACATTAAGAAAATTGTAAGGAAGAGAAAATTTACGGTACTGTGCTATATTTTTCGAAAAAAAAAAAAATCCACGTATAGGTGGACCTATGCAATTCAAACCCGTGTTGTTCAAGGGTCAACTGTGCTGTGTTTCTGACTAATCTTGAATTTGTAAATGCAGTTAGATAACTTACCTTTTGGACACTTTTTGCCCAGTTTTTATTACTAGGAGTCAACAAATTCCATCTTCCTGTACCTCCCTCTTGGGAACATGACATGTTTTGCAGTACAAATTATGCAGATTTAAGTAGTCCTTCTGGTTACCATAACTAAGCCTTTGAGCAGAAGCTGATCATATAAGCTTATTACTTAGCATATCTGTTTCTTTAAGAGCAGGAACACAGTTCCTCTGAGGAGATACTTCTAATGGACAGGATCATCCCATTATTAGCCATTGAGGAAGATTTCAGTCATAACCACTCTGCATCCACTCTGTCCTTTTAAGGAAAAACCCTTTGATTGTTTCTCTGTCCAGTGTGACCTGAGGGGCTGTTACTCTTTTTTTTATCCCTAAGGATATCTACTACCAGATCTTTTCTTTTCCCAGAGGACATTTAGGTACAGGTTGAGGTTCTGCTCCTATCTATCTGAGACGTGAAACACATAACTAGCTCATAGACCTCCAGGGCCTGCTTTCCCTTTCTGAGGCCAAGAATAGCAGTAGAGCCCTAGTTGTGGTGGGATTGAGGGCAGCTTCTTGTACCTCCGATATTGTCATATAATAGGAATAATGTTTATGGTGCTGTAGTCCTGGCTTCACTTGGCATTTAACCAACCTCCAGTGCTGTTTATTGCTTCGTATCCTCTGCCTCCATCAACATTATCCCTTAAATCTCTATTGCTTTGTAATATATGAGGCAACAAATAGCTTCTATGATTGGTTAAATGCTGGCATGCTACAAAGGTATATGTTTTATTGCCTATGTAATACAAGTCTATAGAGATTTTTTTCTGTTATCCCAGCCCTCCCTTTAAGTGGGCCATACTGGTACTATAGGACTCTGGATTTTTAATTCTATCCCTTTGGCAAGTTTCCCTATTACCTGGCATTAGCACAAAAGAAAAGAAGGAAGAATGGGTTGGTGCTGATTACTAATTCTTTATGTCAGGGGAGCATCTTGAATTAGAGAATAACAAGGAAGAAATGGCTCTGACAGGTAAATGCCATTTATGGTGGTATATACCATCTTTACATGCTTCGACAGGTGAGGGCAATTTCAGGCAAACAAATAAGCCTTTCTTCCTCACCCCCTGCCAAGAGT